GAAACCATATGTGAACCGGAGAGGAGAGCTAAAAGGAGGAAAAAGTCCACCGAAAGCAGGTGAGTGGAAGAACCTATATTACAAAGTAACTTATCTAAACATTACCTAACCCTTAGTGGTTACAGTCAGAGGGGCGGTACTGGTGTCTTACTAACGTTTACGTTCCTACAGCCTCAGTCTGTTAATGGTTTTAAGTCTACGCGCATGTGATATGTCGAAATTATAAAGCTTTAGTGCTTACTCCGTATAGTAAACACGCCCCACCCGTGAGAAATTAATCGAAACGTTTAGGTTCATGTTGATGACTGTAAATACCATGTACACAAGTATAGGTTCTCTAACGTTTATAGCTAGGGATAATGTTAGCTGTTTACTTTGTAAGTAACTTAGCTGTACAGTCAGGGGGCATATTTAGGTCTGGGAATCTAACGTTACAGTTTAATGTCTAATACGCTCAGACTGTTTAGCAGGATCAGAGTCAATTCTTTGTTACAATGAATGAAAGATATAAGCTAAGAAAATGAGGAACAGGTTCACTTCGGCGCAACTCAACCTCCTTTTTAAAGCATGTTTCTACTCCTTATAACCCACGGAGAGGTAATGAAATCGATTATATCTGTCTTTAGGTCGTGTTCTTTGTTAAGCTTATGCTCTCTTATATTTTTTTACCGTCGTATGGGTTTGGATTCCCTAAACCCAGCCAATGGCGTATATGTACGCTAACGTTATAATTTTTACCATTCATTGATCCCTTGTGAGTCAAGCATTCCTACTCCTCCTATATACGAATAGTTCAGTGTACCTCTCAATAAGCCTGCTATATTGATATCTAACAGTGTTTTATTAGGCTACAACATTGTTAACCTTGCTCACTGTTCTGTTTCTGTTAAGGCATGATGTTGCAATTAGGAAGACGGCTCTTCCTTTTTTGCCGACTGCCCAGGCAGTGCTTAAGCCTAACAGACCAAGAAAACTCCAGCTCTTCCCAGAAGTTTTATGCTGTCTCTTACAAAGGCAGCAGGCTTATCATTCTTTGCTGTTTTGGAGCACATGGTAATTGGGCAATTAACGTCTCAGCAATTCATGACCGTATCATGTCAAACAGCTTAATGAATCGCAACAATACACCAATGGAATAAGACCCATGAAATAACCAGTGAATTGAGGTATAGCCTGTATCTGTTCTTATTTTGGCTGTAGGCTAAGGCTATAATGTATTGGCTATTAATCTACCCTTGCAATTTGGTCAGCTACATGTTAATGTAATCGTCATGCTACTGTATCTAACTCTATGACACTTCAAACTTACTGAAGATCTGCATTCCCTCGTAAAATAAATATAGGATTTTGTTAGGAGTTTGGATATTGGTATAGAAGGAAATGATGGGCATCAGAGTTTAGGCCACTCAAATAGATATAAACAACCAACTAGCCTCTGGTTAGGTGCCTAATAAGGCACTTACAACCATGGCTTATTCATTCTCCCTAAACCAAAGCTTCTCATGTATACTTAATGACCTTAACTTGACAGGCTCTACATGACGCATAGGCCTGCTACGCTATGGAAAATGTCTTTTATCTCATGTCTTTTTGTCACTTCTGGCAACAAGGTGATGGCAGAAACCATGTGGCCTGACACTGAGGTCCTAAGAGGAGCAGTGACACCTCAAGTTACCATGTGCAAACAAGAGAGGCCAAAGACTCTGTAAGCCCACCCCCCAAATATTATGTCAGTCTCTCTTAACGTGACAAACATCGTCCCTTACATGACAATAGTTTCAATATATAGCCTATGTTTTCCATGTTTGGTACACACCCTTTATTAATCTAAATGCATGATTTTAATATATGTAACATATTTCATTTGCGGATTATACCTACTATTTCCTTAAAGGTTTTTACTTATCTACTGAAAAGTGTTTTTTATTCAAGAGGAAGATAGCAGTCATGTCTGAATGAACAGAAACAGGAAACATGACCGGAGTTTCGAGGTCGTCTCGATCTGGCTAGAGAATCTTGAAGAGACTCAAGAAGATTAGCATAGGAACAGGTACAAGTCCGGTTATACCAAATGACACCATCAGCGCCCTAAATCTAAAAGTTATTTGTAACACAAAATGATATCCTTGAAGACCTTCTGATGCTTTGTCCTGTTAGTTTTTAAAAGCTGCATCGATGTAAAATGGTAAATGTAAATTGGACCTGTTTTCAAACGTAAGTTGTTTGACTGAATTGATTTAAAACTGTTGAAGGTGAAGGTACTGGCACCAAGATGTCAGGGCTCTGACCTCCTCTCTGTAGGCCGTCTCAGCGAAAATATAGGGATATGATAGAATAGAAAATACGTATAATACTGTCCTACAATGAAATGGAGGTTGTACTGGCACCAAGATGTCAGGGCTCTGACCTCCTCTCTGTAGGCCGCCTCATATTGAAAGCTGAATTGTTATCAGTGAACAGCATTCTCATATATGTATTCCTCTGGTCAGAGTTGGAGAGGGCAGTGTGGAGGTATAGGTCGACGTCCATTGATCTGTTTGGCCTGTATGCAAATTGTAGTGGGTCCAGTGAGTCAGGAAGAGGAGTGATGGAGGTTTTGACTTATCATGCAAAGAACTTTATGATGGTAAAAGTGAATTCTTGTCGGCACTAGTCTTTTTGGGAATAGGGAAAATGCTGGTCTTCTTGGAACATGTGGGGACTACAGTCTGGAGCAGTGAGAGGTTGAAAATCTGCCAGTTGATCTGCATACCTTGGCCAGGAATCCCATTAGGTCCAGGTTAAAGACTGGACAGATCAGCCCTGGTTATAAATTGTGGGCAGGGATCCTGGGCCTTTTGTAACTCCTTAGCCGAGAAGTTCAAAATGTGCATATAGGGTGTTCAGTTCACCTGGGAGAGATGCAGACAATGTCTCAGCACTGCTAAATGTTCATCCT